ATATATATGCAGAACCTATATCAGATTGCATGTCATCTTGGGATGGAGGGAAGAAAGGGAGGAGGAGAAAATTTGGAACTCAAAATCTTATAGAAATTAATGTTGAAAACTAAAAATAAATTCATTCATTACTATCAAAAAACAAAATAAAAAACAAAAATTTAACAGCCAATGTGACATCAATACTATTCACGTTGGGTGCTGATGCATCTCATATTCATTCTTGATACCATTTAGTATTACAAAGTATTTGCAAAAACATAGGTACTGAGCTGAACATTTAGATATCCCTGTGTTTACTGAGCTATACCAGCCCTGGTTGCAGAAACCATTCCAATGCAGTCATCCATTCATTCAACTTGCATCTGAAACAGGAAAACTAAGGCAATTTTTTCCTCTTTGAGGTAAGTGATTCAGAATAGTTATATCATGAAGCAAATATTGCATATTCTCAAAGGTACAAAATCTTCTCTCATACTGGATTCTATTCTGTTCAGACCAAAGAAGCATAATGGTATAGTGCTAACACAGGCAGTCATTAAGTGCTTATTATGTGAAAGGTCCCTCATAATGTGAATCAGTCAACAAGTAGTAAGTACCTACTAAGTGCCAAGCTGTGTGCTAAGTGGTGGAGATTCAAAGAAAGAAAAAAACAGTCCCTGCTTTCAAGGAACTCACAGACTAATGAGGCAGACAAGATGCAAAAAAACGATGTACAAATAAGAAATGTATACTAGATAAATTGGGGTTACTCTCAGAAGGAAACTGCTAATTAGGAGGACTGGGAAAGGCTTCTTGAAAAAGATAGGATTTTAGCTAAGGCTTGAAGGAGTCTAGACAATCCAGAAAACAGAGATGAAGATGAAGAGGAAGTTTCAGGCATAAAGGACACACAGTGAAACTGTCCAGAGTCAGGAGATGGGGTGTCTTATTCTACAAAGAGCAAGGACACCAGTGTTACTGGATTGCAGAGTAAATGGTGGGAACTAAGGTTTAAGAAGACAAGCTTTTTTTGTTTTGTTTTGTTTTGTTTTTAAGGGTCAAGTTATGAAGAATTTTAAAAGCCAAAGAGATTTTGTACTTGATCCTGGAGGAGATAGCCACCAGTGTTTATTTAAAAGAGGAGTGGCATGATCAGGCTCGTGCTTAAGGAAGATCAATTTGACAGCTGAGTTAGATAGACTAGAGTTGGAAGAAACTTAAATCGGGTAGACAAATCAACTATTTTAATGGTCCTTGCTATAAGGTGGTGAGGGCCTTGGGTAAATCACTTAACTCTTCTAACCATCTTCTAACATCTTCTAACCATTTACTCATATATTGAATAAGGTGCCTGTAGTAGACTTCTGAGGCTCTTTTCACATCCTCCCAAGAGAAATTGCACCTTACCTTTGTTGTCAGTGACACATGTCCATTATATAAGTATCCTAAAGCAGACATTGCCAATGCATAGATGAAAAGACCAGCAATTATTCTCAAACTTCATATGTAAGAAAACTGCACTGTTTGCTGCCAGAGATTATATTTAGAATAACTAGAAAATCAATTATACTAGCCTCTTTCCATAAGGACAGAGCTGGGCTTCATTTTACAACATATAAGGCTATAGCTTGGCCCTTTCTGTGCTCTGGATCTTGTCTTCTTTTGCTTTTTTCACAAATGACTTCCTTCCATTTTTCCATTCGTACCGTGCATAGTGTTCAAAGATCCTCTTTGCCAAATGCAGCCTACTTCTGTTAGGAGCTCTTCAATTCCAGCTTCCCTCTTGGCAACATAGAAAATTATAAAAGGCAAGAGACCAGAAAGCCTTAAGGCTACCTTACTCCCTTCAGAAGACAAGCAAGTCAGAAGACCAGAAAGTGAAGAGTTGGAAGGATCCTATGTTTCCAGATCTAGAGCTAGAGAGCTGAAAGGAGAAGATGAACCAGAATGTCCTCTAGCTAGTCTCTTTTGACCTTATACTTTCTAGCTCCTGCTGCATCGGTCCCCTCAAGGAAATGATGAGGGGCCAGCCAACCTCCATTTGTGCCAGCACAAGGCAATTCCCATCCCCTGCTGCCAGCCTGATCTCCCATCTGCAATATAGAGACCATTCCCAATGTGTAGCAATCTTACCTTTGACCTTCCATCTCCTGCTGCACCTGTCCCTTGAAAAAAGAACAAGAGGAAAGTTGATGGGGAGTGGGACTTCCTATTGCTGTTGTGTAGATTAGACTTCCATCTCCTGGTGGGCCATTTTCTGCCTAATCTTCAGCCTTCAGAGGGAAAAGGAGTAGTGGAATGGGGTCAGTCATCTGACCATGTGGGCCTTCTTTCTTGTGTTGTACTCCAGCTTTCTTTGGAAAGTTCCCTCTGTCATCCCCGCTCTATTACTTATTATTAATCTCTCCTTGTATTACAGCTCCTTTCCTATTGCCTAAAACCATATGCATCTCCCACATACTCAAAAAGCCCTCCCTTGATCTTTTCATCCCCACTAACTTTCATCTTGTATCTCTTCCGCCTTTTGTGGCTAAATTCCTTAAAAATATCCATCTACGATAGGTGGCTTCATTCTCTCTCCACTCACTTTCTTCTTAACTTCTTACAATCCAGCTTCTGACCTCATTATTCTACTAAAAACTATTCACTCCAAAGTTACCAATGATATTAGTTATCAAACCCAATAGCTTTTTCTCAATCCTTATTCTCCTTGACCTCTCTGCAGCCTTTGATCACTCTCTCTTCCTTGACACTTTCTTTTCTCTAGGTTTTTAGGACATCAGTCTTCCTGACTCTCCTCTGACCTATCTGACTGCTCCTTCTCAGCATCTTTTGCTGAATCTTCACCCAGATCACACTTTCTAACTGCAAATGTCCCTCATGGTTCTATCATAGGCCCTCTTTTTTCTCTCTTTATACTAGTTCATTTGGTGATCTCATTAGCTTCCACAGATTTAATTATCATCTCTATGCTGATGATTTACAAATCAATGTATCCTACCCCAAATGCTCTCCTGACCACCAAGTCTTACATCACCAACTGCCTTTTAGATATTTCTAACTAGATATCCAATAGACATTTTAAACCCAACACATTGAAAACCATACTCATTATCTTCTCCCCTAAATCTCTGCATGTCCCTAATACTGTTAAGGGTAATTCCATCCTCCCAGTCCCCAAGGCTAACAACCTCAATGACATCTTTGACTCTTTACTCTCTCTTCCATTCTATATCCAAATTGTTGTCGTGGCCTGTCCATTTCACTTTTGCAACATTTTTCAGTACGCTCCTTTCTATTTTCTGACACTACCACCACTCTAGTGTAAGTTCTTATCACCTCTCACCTGGACTATTGCAATAGTCTGTTGTTAGTGGGTCCCCTGCCTTAAAAGTCTCTCCTCACCACAATCCATCCTTAGTTCACCCACCAAAGTCATTCTCCTTAAGTGTAGGTCTGCCCATGTTACTCCCCTACTTCAGTGACACCCAAATGCCTCAAAGACCAAATACAAAATCTTCTCTTTGGTATTCAAAGCTCTTCATAACCTAGTCTTCTTCATTTCTTGTCTTCTTACACCTTGTTGCCTGTCATAGACTCTTCTCAATTCAGTGAATTCAATTCAGTTCATTCATTGTTGTTCCAAAAACAAGACACTCAATCTTTTGGCTCTAGGCATTTTTCTCTAGCTGTCTCCCATGCCTGGAATGCTTTCTGTCCTCATCTCTAGCTACTGACTTCAAGTCACAATTAAAATTCTTGAAATTCTAGTGACTCCCCTTTCTTATTTCATATTTATTTTGTAAATGTATTTTTGTACATATTTGTTTGCTTGTTGTCTTCCTCATTAGTTTGTGAGCTCTTTGAGAGCAGGGACTACATTCTTTCATCTCTTTTTTGTATCACTAGTGCTTAAAATAGAGCCTAGGACATAGTAGGTGCTTAATAAATGTTCATTGGCTGTTCAACTCCCACCTTTTATGAGGAAATGAAACCGTTGGGAACAACTAAATGATTTGCCCAATGTGGCACAAATAGTAAAACATAAATGTAAGGCTTCTGACTCCAGAGCCAACAGTCTCTCGTTAGGTCATCTAGTCTAACCAGACAGCTGAATACAAATATTCTCCTTCCTGTCTCCGAGGTAAATCTCAAGACTAATCCTGGTAAACATTAATGATGGAGGTCAGACACAAATCCCAGCATCTCTGAAATTCATTAACATTCATCAGTTTAGTGGGGAAAATGCAGGCTTCAGTCGGGAAAATCTAAACTCAATGCCTGCCTTTCGCAAATACTGGCCATAAGAAGGTGACCAAATCATTTAACCTCCCAGTGCCCAAGGCAACTCTCTAAACTTTAATTTACAGAGCATGTAGAGATCTACATAATTCTGGAAGTTTCCTCACATAGAGTCCCTTATGTAAGTGTCATCACAGGTAGGGAGAAAGGGGCAAAGACTCCCATAAGCTGTAGGAGCTGGTACAAAGGCAAACAGAATCAAAATCTGTAGATTAGTATGAAGTTATGAAAGCAATTGTAGTTGATTTCTCTTAGGTCTCCAGACTTGAAATGTGAATACGCTATCCATGTCTCTACCAATTACAGGTGAAAAAAAGAGTTGAAAAAAGAGAGACAGAGACAGAAAGACAGAGAGACACAGACAAACAGAGAGACGGACAGAAACACAGGGGCCGAGACACAGAGATCGAAAAAAATGAATGGATAGAGGAGATAGACAGAAACAGAGACAGGGAGAGGTAAAAAAGCAATTGAAAGCGAAGCTGCACGAGCCAGAGCAAGAGCAATTTATCCGCACCTGGCAGCTAGTCACCCTGGAATCCGGGAGGGGTTTCTCCAGACACTCTAGACACTTATCTTCCCGGGAACCAATAGCAGGCTGGTCCCTGAGTCGGTTGCCATGGTCACGTTGTGTGTTTGGAGAGGGGCGGGGCGGGCAATGGGACGGAGCGGGTCTGGGCAGGTAGGGAAGCGAGGTGGGGAAGGGGTGGGGAGGTGCTGGAAAGGGGGCGATCCTGCTGGTCTGTGGACCACCCCACCAGAGGGTTTGGGTGGGAGGCTCCAGGTGACTCAGGAGAGCTCGCAGGGATAGACCATCGAGAGACCATCAGCTCTCTCCTCACCCGGCCCGACGATGTATACTGCCAACCGGAAGAGACTGCAGAAGCTAACGGACTGCACGAGCAAAGCCTCCAAGCATTGTGAGTAGCGATGATCACAGCCCTGGCGAGAGGCGTGTAGACCCCGGGACAGGCAGCTCCGGATCCCAGGAGACCCTAGTCTTGGCCTTGGCCAGCACACTTTCTCCTTCCCCACCCCCTTCATTCACATCAGTCAGCTCCATGTACAGAAATCGTCCCATTTTCTCTCTGACTTCTAAAATTTTCCTCTTGAGGAAACTTAAAAACTGACGGTTTGCTCCCAAGCCCTAAGATGTCTATGTGCTCCCCGGTGCGTGCCCCCACTTTTTCCAATGCCGGGTGGCCAATCCCAGCAGGGCTTCCTCCCCATCATTCCTTCAATTTACACCAAAGAAAATTCTCCAGACCCTCAGAACTTGAGCTCCCTCGTATACGACTCCTCTCATAAGAGACCTTTATCCATATATGCTGTATGGCTAAAAAAAAAAAAAAAAATAAGGGGAGGGGAGAGGGAGAAATCAGTGAATCTAAGCAACTGCCTTCACCTTTTAATACCTCAGGACCGGAACCCATCTTTATAGTAAGTGGTGTGAGAATAAGCAGCTGTCCTCCAGTCCCCTACCCCTGATCTCACTACACATATGCCTAGTCTCCTGTTGGCTTGTCTGTACAATCTTTTGAGAAAAGAAAGAGAAAGTTATATTCCTACAAGATAGTTGTGGCTTCTTATCACAATTACCAGTGGATTAATAACTACTGTGTTCAAGAAAATTGCATAATTATCCTATACCATGTAATATATAGCCCCTCCCCCCAAGAACAATTCAGTCCAATTCAGTAAGACTTTATTAACAGGTTATTGTGATCTAGACACTGTGCTATGTCAGTGGATATAAAAACTCAAAAGTGTAAACAAGGACATATAGGAATAGTATGTTTATGCAACTTACATAACTATAGTTTGGGGATCAGTTATAATAATGGTTCCAAGCCAAATGTATTAGGATACTATTTTTCAAACTTTTTGAGGAAATGTTTTCACCCTGCAATTCCCCCTCCCCACACTTTTGGTCTTTACCCTCACTCCTAGTCCATTCTTCAAACAGTTGCCAAATTAGTATCAACAGAACAGAGGTTTGACAATGTCACTATCCTGCTCAAAAATATTCAGTGGTATCCTATTACCTCCAAGAAGAAATTCAAAACTGCTCAACTTGCCACTTAAGACCCTCTACAATCTAGCTCCAACCTATTTGTTCCACTTTCCATAGAGCCTCCATCACACATTCAACATTACAAACTGACCCACCAGTTGTTCCCCATTCCAACTCCCCATTTTTTTGCCTTCTCTCAAGCTGTCCATTATGTGATAGTATTCAGGATCACAGGTTTTTGTGAATATTTTAATAAATAATCTCCCTTCAAGTTTTCCTTTTATAATATTCCATAGACATATTTATAATACAGTCATTTAATATATGTATATATTACAAAGAATGTGCATAGATATTTTGTGAATATTTTAATAAATAATCTCCCTTCAAGTTTTCCTTTTATAATATTCCATAGACATATTTATAATACAGTCATTTAATATATGTATATATTACAAAGAATGTGCATAGATATTTTACACTAAATATCTTGGTTGTTGACATCACTTATGCTAGAGTCAAATAACAGCGTGTCCAACTGTGGCTGACCAGACCAATATAACCTCGGGATGTTCTACCACAGGTCGAGCACAAATAGTCCATGTGAACATTGCACATCTCAAATTTCTTTTGATCTACTTCAATTCTGCTTTGCTCATAGAGCACGACATCTTTTCTAATGATAGCATGCCATGCTTAGCAGTCCTGTGCCAGCGTCTCCCATGTCACACAATCAATTCCAAAGTTCTTTGGAGAGACCTTGAGAGTGTCCTTGTATCACTCCTTTTGACCACCATGTGAATGCTTACCCTATGTGAGCTCTCCATAAAATAGTCTTCTGGGCAAGCATACCTTCTGCATTCAAACAGTAGATTTTGAATGCGTGACAGTTAAGTTCTAGAAAAGACTTCAGTGTCTGGTATCTTATCCTGCCAGGTGATCTTCAGAATCTTCCTAAGTCAATTCAAAAGTATACGTGGAAGCAATTTATGAAATAAGCACTCCCACTTCACCCATGTCTTATTTAAAATCTCTAGTTTCCTTCAAAGTTCCACTCAGGTACCACATTCTACAGGAAGTCTAATCCCTACCTTCAAACATCCCCCACCACCACCAAGTTGTCAACACTTACATCTAATTAACTTGTGTATATGTTGCATTTTCGGTTAGAATGTAAACTCCTTAAGGACAGAGATTGTTTTGTTTTTTAGTATTCCCAGCACCTAACACACTTTTGGTGCATGGTTTTGTGCATGTTTGTTGAGATGAGTTGAATACAAGAAGTTCCCCTTTGAGGCCCTTGATGTAATGTTTGGGGAATTGAGTGGATTGATAGTGGTGATATAGATATTAAATATACCTAACATGATCATAAGAGGAAGCACACCTTGCTAGGGACAAGCTTACTTATGATTTAGTTTACTATTTAATATTTGTGACTACCTGAGAAAACAGGAGCAACTGTGAACCTGTATTACCAAGAATAAAAGGAAAGAACAAATGTGTTCTTTAGTGGCTGTCCTAGAGATTGTAGGACTCAGCAATTTCTAATCACTAGTATCTGATGTAATGAGTGTGATTTACTTTTTGGCTGTGGCAACAAAAGAGAACTCTTACAGGACTATACTGTAAATAAAAGTTATGCTACATAGAGAACATTTTAAACTCCTTAGAACAAAGAAGCCATATGCATTTAAAGTATCACCATGATTATTATAATCTGATGCTTTTTCACTTACAACATTTTTATCTCTGGAAAAAACAACTGTTCTTAAATTTTTCAATAGCTGTTTTGAATAAACATTCTGTCTGACAAAACAATACAATAGGTATTATGCAAAACACTAGATGAAACATAATCCTTTCACAGTAGGTTTGCAATATGTTGTAAACAGACCTCATGATGCAAACAAGTGAGGGAAAAGAGTACAATTTTCAAAGGGTTGGTGGTAACAACAACAAAAAAGGTATTAAACATTTTTGCCATCTGTTATTCTAGAAAAGGAAAAAGGAAGCTCTAATAACTATTTGATTGTATTGTGCATGGTACCTGGCACATAGTAGGCATTTAATAAACATGTTTTTTGATTAATTGATCAAATTTGAAAGAAGTCTGCACATTGACTTTAAATGATTTAAGATTGAGGGAGGAGATGGAATATGAAATATTATCTTTTTTACTGAGTATATATCTATTATATTCTGTCCCTGGTGGTCAAATTATGTTGATTGTGGAGATGATCGTGCCATCATTCTTCAGTGGATAAGCTTAATATTATCCTAGAACAAGAAAATTTCTTTAAAAATCACCCAGTCGATCTTCAAGAACTACATCAATGCCATCCCAGCAAATCACAGGATTTAGAACTAAAAGGGACCATAGACATATGTGCGTATAAAATATCTATATCTATATCTATATCTATCTATATCTATATATCTATATCTATATCTATATATATTATACATATGTCTACATTATAAAGATGGGAGAGTGAAGATGGTTTGTGATCTTCCATGATAGAGGAAACATTCTAACATGAACGATCCATTATAGTATAAACATTTTAAAAAAGAAATTAATTTCTTTTATTCAAAGTTCCCAAGTTTAGGATATGAGCAATGGAAGAAATGTTAGGGAGTTTTAGGTCCCCTAATAGATGAAAAAATGAGAGCCAGAGAGGTTGTAGTTAGATACAGAGGCAGTCTTAGAGAGCCTTGCTTTCCTCTCTCCCAGATCTGTTACCTTTCCAGCATAAACCTTGTTGACTTCTTTCTAACTACTTGCATGTTGGCAGTAGCATAAAATCATTTTTGAGTGATATCAATTGGGACTTGTAGATAGTAGGTTAAATATCACAGTTTTATTTGAAAGGATATTTCTACTTTCAATGAGAATACTTATGAATAAATTTATATTTAATTGAAATGAAAATTAGTGCCCATGTAGTTTATATAAGTCTGAAACCAGTTTCTATGGAAATAGAACGGATCACCACATGAAGTAAAGTTGATAGTCCCATGGACTTTCATAACTAAAATGTTGAAAGGATAATTAATAGATAGATGGAAGCATTTTTGATTCAGCATTTTTATTAGTCAAGTTTTTTGTTTATTTTCCTATTTTTAACTTTTTATATTCACTCAAACATACTTTTTAAGTTCCAGGTAAAAGATATATTTGAGGCAGCTAGATGGTTCAGTGGATAGAGCACTGAGCCTGGAGTCAAGAAGATCTGAGTTCAAATGTGGCCTCAGGTACTTACTAGCTGTGTGACACTAGACAAGTCATTTAACTTCTGTTTGCCTTAATCCGCTGGACAAGGAAATAGAAAACCACTCCAGGATCTTTTCCAAGAGAACCCCATGCATAGTATTTGTGGGCAACGGCCCACAGAGTCACAAACAATCAGACACAACTGAACAACAAAACAGATATTGGTTAATATTGCCAATGTTTGCCAGTCATCTTTTTTCCTAACTCTAATGTGACTTGATTCTATTGAAGCAGCATAGCATACAAAGATTATTGGTTTTCAAGTCAGGAAGACTGGGGTTCAGGTCTGACCTCAGACATTTAGTAGCTATGTGACCTTGAATAAGTCACTTATTTTCTCTGTGCTTCAGTTTGCTCATCTGTAAAATGAGAATTTTGAACTTGATGACCTCTTAAGTCCTTCCCAGCTCTAAAACTATGATTATATAATACTATGACAAACCCATTCAAAAAATTTACTGTTGAAAATCTAGGTACTCCCAACCTCTCTCTTTGTTAAGCTAAATTTAGCTTCTGAAATGATCTTACAACCTTCAGTTTCTAAAATACCTCAAAATGTAGTAGCTATCATTGCGAATTGTACATTTGGTACATCACCCATTGTAAAAAAAAAATATTGTAAATTCAGCATAAGTTTCATTGTCATCTCTTGACTTTTTCATCACAGTTAACAGATACGAAATAGAGTGCCTCATAAAACTTTTTTATACCTTGCTGGAAGAAACAGCTGAGAAACAAAGTAGCATTGGGATAGATCGTAATGCATTTCGAAACTTCCTGCATACTACATTTGGAATGACTGATGACATGATTATGGACAGGGGTAAGAGGACATAATCAATTCATATTGACCAAATTCTGCTGAAAACAAGACTTCATCGGCTTTGAAGTTTGGGAGGTATTCTGTATAACAAAATTAGTATTTGATGTTTCAAATTTTGCTTGAAAATAAGCTTAAGCCATACATGCAGAGACAAAAACATTTAAGCAAGCATTAAGAACAGGAAAAATTGTCATATCTAGTTTGCCTCATTTGATGGAAAAAATCCTAAAGTTCATAATATATGTTGTTTATATCATATTTCTATTTAATAAATAGCTTATTTTCTATATAATTTGTTTTTAAGGAATTTTTGGCTTTTTTCTTCATCATAGAAAACATACTGTATTCATGAATAAAAGATTGTATACAAAAATTACAAATGAAACATTATTTAATAGGCATAAATTCCCACTATGACTGTACAAATATCTATGGAGAAATTTGTTTTCTGTATATAACTAATTACCTCAAATTGCCAAAATTTTCATTTTCCCCACATACAGAGAAAATTCAAATGTAGAGAAAAATTTTATGCTTTAGTAATCTCTGACAAAATATTATATTGAAAAATGTTCTAAAAAAGTTTTATATAAATCATTATATTTGTATCAAATTTTTCTTTGTAGTATTTCGTGCTTTTGACAAAGACAATGATGGATTTGTGAATGTAACAGAGTGGATTTCAGGACTATGTATATTCCTTCGAGGGAATTTGGAAGAAAGAACAAAATGTAAGGTTTCAGTGTTTGATTTATAAATAGTTATTTTCTGGATTTTGTGCTTAAAATATGTAAAGATTGTTTTACTTGGAGTTATCCAAACCAGACAAGCAGAGGTTTCTGGTGGCACTCATTTTCCTCACATACCTTTCCTCTGAAATCTGAGTTTCTATCCTAGTTATTGTAATGAATATTAATCAATGACAGTGAGTGGGGAATGGACAATAAAAAGGAAAATCAAGAAATAGAATTTTAATTTTATTTTAATTGCCTGAAAATTAACTGCATGTTTGATATAGGTTCATGCTAATTATATGTATGTATGTATGTATACATATATATATAATGTTTAGAATTCTAATTATTTCATTGGATGAAAAGCATCATGGTATAGTGGGTAAGGTAGAAGAGAAGTACCAGTAGAGAATTCAATTCAATTTACCCAATAAGTATTTATTAGAGAGGTTCTATGACATAAGGGATGGAGAACCAGTTTTGGAGTCAGAGAGACCCAGATTTAAATTTCACCTTTGATATATATTGTCTGTATGACCCTGGGCAAGTCACTTGACCTCCTAATGCCTCAGGCAACTCATTATTCTTGTTCAGATGGCCTTTCTGATTCTTTGTGACCCCATTTGGTGTTTTCTTGGCATAGTTACTGGAGTGGTTTCCCATTTGCTTCTCCAACTCATTTTATATATGAGAAAACTGAAGCAAACATGGTTAAGTGACTTGCCCAGGGTCACACAGCTGGTAAGTATCTGAGGTCAAATTTGAACTCAGATCCTCCTGACTCTAAGCCAGCATTCTATCCACTGCACCACCTAGGTATTACACTGTAAGTTAGAGATGAGTCACCTACATGTATTGATGGAAAGAGTTTTTACTCCAGGGATTTCTCTCATTGATAAAATCACAGATCTTACTCCCCTCCCCCAAAGAAGTTATTTTGTTAAGCCATATCACTTAGTAATCATGTTCAAGATCAATATTTGACTCGGACTCTATGTAGTTTAATTTTAATGGTAAGACATTATAAAATTAGCATTCATTGTGGTGCTTTTTACTCATTTACTTACAGTTGATTTAAAAAATATTCAAAGATTGAGCCAAACATTTTTGCATGTCAGTTCATCATATATTAAGTACATATCATTTATGTGAGAGGTAAGGTAAAGTGGATCAAATACTTGCCTCAGAGGCAGGAAGACCTGGGTTGTTAAGTCCAGATTCTGATACATATTGACCATGTGATCCTGGGAAAGTCATTTGTCTTCTCAGTACACAGGTTCAGATCCCCTCCTCCCCAACTCCACTTCCAAATGATGGTGTTTGCACTGTGCTAGACACCATGGGGAATGATAAAATGGCTCACATTTACATAGTGCTTTACAGTTTGACAAAATTTACCTGAGAAAAAACCCACAAGATAGGTAAGTGATGTGCATATTATGATCTCCATTTTATAGTTGAGAAAGCTGAAAGACATTAAATGACAAGTCAAGATCATATTGCTAATAAATGATATAGCGGTAACTTCAAGCTCTTTTCATTTATACCATATTATTACAATAAATATATGTGTGGTATATATGTGCAAATCATTGCAGTTTCTCTTCTATATTCAGTCTTCATTCCTCTTCTAACAAGTATAGGCTACTTCCAGAAATATTTGTGGATATTTAAAACATGAATTCGCGATTACATAGAAGCAACCTGTCATAGTGGGCAGAGTGTTAGGCTTGAATTCATAAGATAAGCACAAGAGCCCTGAGAGTGGCAGCACCATCACACCTAGACCACTAGTCTGCTTCTAGCCCAAACCCTCACAGCCATCATCCCTGGATGATGGCAACTCTTCTCCTATGGAGAAGGGACCAACAGCCAATCAACTGCTACTCACAGGCAAGACAAGTCAGCCTGGGTGAAGTAGCAAGGCACCTTGGGAGAGTCAGGAGGGAGCATTTGCCAGCAAGTCAAACCACCACCACCTTTATTATTACCTCCTCTTGGACTGTAAAAGAGAAAACTCAGGACCCTGAACCAACAGCCTTGGAAATAGTAGTGTTCCCCAAACTTCGACCCCTGCTTTTAGCCCAGTCCCCACAGCCATCACTAGGAGAAATCGTTGTGGAGACGGGGACCACATTTCTGATCATCACCAACAATAACTTCTAATTAACTGTTACCAAAAGGAATTAGGCATAAGAACCCTAGGAGTGGAAGGACAACCCCTCCCCAATGACCTGTCCTGCTTCTAACCTGTCCCTCACATTTATCATATGGGGACTCAGCCATCTCTGTCAAATGCTTACCAACTGCCACTCACATGGATGAGGCAGCAGGGCACTCTGAGGAAAAACAAACCAGGAGGCAGTGTGCACCAGACTAATCAAACAATGACTACTACCATTGTCCTTCAGACCCTGATAGAGACAGCCAACACAGAACCCTGTACCCAGGAACCTTAGGAATAGTAATGCCCAAAGCCATCACTCTGGGAACCAACTGCTATGAAGATGCAACCTGGCAACTGTTCCTACAGGTACTATCACCACAATTTCTGGAGATCTTGAAAAAAGAGCTTGCCACCAAGCTCTTGGCATTGTAAAACAGTTAAGCACCAGAAACCTGTGTGATTTTACCAGTGGAAATGACATTAAAGAAGAGGCATTACCATTTGCTCTGCTACTGTACCCTAAGGACCATGAGACCTTGTTATCTGACTTGCAGCTGAGACCTTCCATGAGTATTATCTGTAGAATTAGACTGAGAACAGATTGTGTTATTTATGTACCTGCTGCTTTGCAAATAGTAAGCACTTAATAAATACTTTATTTATTCACTTAGAAATACCTGAGTTCAACCTCCCTCTAATACTTATTAGCTATGTGACCCTGGGCAAGCCATTTAACCCCATGTGACTCAAGTACTTCCCTAAGACTTATGAAATCATAGATGGGTTGTAATTTGTGCTGGTGCAAAGATCCTCACACTGAGGAAATTCTGAGAGCATATTGCTATTTACAGCTATGTGCTGAATATTAGTGTATGTGTCACAGGTAAAATAAACTTGATTTATCAGGATTTTGAGCTTTTATTTTAAGGTCTTTGCTTAACTCACTCATTAAGCAAACATTTCTTAGGCATCTATGTTATGTGCAGAGACAGTGGTGCTAGATCTTAATATCAGTGACCCTACTTAAGACCTCCACAAAGGACAAACAAGAAGGCATTTATTGCTATTTTGGAATCTAGGACATTTGACATGTTTTCATTTTTTAAATAAAGCTTTTGCTTTTTTTTCTCTAAAGTGGTCCTAAAGTAAATTTCCAGGTCTACACTTAACAATATTTAAAGTAACTCCATAACACAATATAACTTTAAATTGTGTATTCTTTAACAAGGTAACTTGATATAATGTACTTTAATTTTGTTTCTTTAAGACTACTAGCTAAACAAATGAAATTATATTCTATCATTTTTTTTAAATGTATCACATTTTTCTTATGATAGGAGGCTGAAACTAGAGCACTCAGGATGTGATTCTAGTTGAAACCAGAAAGACAAATAAACTGAACAAAATTTGAAAAATTCATATCCATAAGTATGGAATTAGCTATCTCTCATGTCAATTTAACTTGTTTTATATCATATCAGGAAACAATGTTTCTGTATTTAAAAATTAAGATGATTTGGTTTAATTCCTTTCTTAACCATCTATCACATGCTTGGTCTTGGGGATCAAAGGCCAAAATGAAACAGTCCTGACTGTTTCCTTCTATTGGATGGAAACACCAACTACATAGATACAGAAATACAAAATAGATGCAAAATGACTTCTGGGACAAAGGCACTACCAACTGAGGAGGATTGGTCCAGGATAGACTTCCTCTAAGATATGACACTCAATTTGAACTTTGAAGGATGCTAGTAGGGTCCTTTGTGGAGAGGTGTGCATCCCAGGAATGGAGCACAGCCCTGTATAAAGACACAGCGATTAGAGATGAAAAGTAGTATTTGGAGACAAGCAGGTAGATCACTTAGGCTGAGGGTAAAGGGCATAAAGAATAATTTGCCTGGGAAGACAGACTGAACCCAGATTGTGAAGGACTTTAAAGGGAAAGAGTTTTTACCTTATCCTTGAGGTTAAAGGTAAAATCATGTTTGTTTTTTCTACAAAAGGTAAAAGGGATTTGCTTAATTAGGGTCTTGATGTATTTAGTCTTTTGCTTTAGGAATATCAGTTTGGCAGCTGGTGGAAGGACAGATTGGTCAAGGGGAAAGACTTGAGGCAAAGGGACGAGTTGAGAGGATGTTCATCCAGGGAAGAGGTGATGTAAGCCTGAACTAGAGTGATAGCTGTGTGAGTGGAGAGAAGAGGATGGATGTGAAATTGTATTGTTGAGGTAGAATCGATTATTGGTAATTGATTGGATGTGAAAAGGTGATGAGGGAGAGTTGAATCAAGGATTATTCCAATGAGAATTCAGGTGACTAGAAGGTAGTCCCCTCAACAAAAATAGGGAAGAATGAGAAAAGTTTGGGAGGAAATTCAGTAAGTCCTTTTTTGGATGTATTGAATTTGAGATGATTCTCAGACATCCATTTGACAACATCAAGTAGGCAGTTATAGATAAAAGAAGGTGGAAGACAGACCAAACACATAGATAATTCTACATAAATGCAATAATAAACTATTGCCTTTGACAGCTGATGAGCTCCCCAGGGGGGAAAACATTTAAAAACAAGATTGAGGACAAATCCCTGAGGCACCTGTCAGGTTGGTCCAGAGAAAACAATCACACACAGGAAACTAAGAAGGAACAGTCAGCAAGTAGGAAGAAAAACAGTGGAGAGCAATGTCATGAAAACCCAGGGAGTAGAGAGTACACAGGAGGAAGAGAAATGGTCAAAAAGAGTGTCAGATACCAAAGAGAGGTCAAGAAGGATAAAGGCAAAGGAAAAAATAGTAGGCTATGGCAAATAAAAGATCACTGATAATCTCA